GTGGCCTCTGTTTGGAAGAGAAGTTATGCATCCTGAAAGCGAAAGGGAACAATTCACTGAACACGCGATCAGAGTTTTATGCGAAGTGCTGTCATAAGGAAAAATTTAGCGCGTGCAAATTCAAACCAATGACGCAAGACAAGCCTACGCGTCAGCGACCGACCGTTGATGCTGACGAATCAAACACAAACTGAATTAATTGCCTGAAGATCGTCTTGAATAAGGCGTGAAACTTGAGTAGCAATAATTAATTTTAAGATATAAATATATCTTGCTCCACTTTTGTATTAGTGTTGAGCACTTTATTACTTTATTATCTACTACAACAAAACAAATTATATATATATATATATATATATATATATATATATATATATATATATATATATATATATATATATATATATTAGATAAAATGCTACACCGTGGAATATTTTAAAATAATCGCGCTATATAGTTTCTGAAGTTGGTTGGAATAGTAAGCAACACATGTTCTTACAAGTCCATTTCATTGGTTTGTGTTACTCCTATATAACTTCGGATATGATTACCGTCTTAGTGCAGTGCGTTGTGGTACACCGTTAAGTATGACATTGTGAAAAATTGAGCATTGATTTACCACACCTGGAAAAGTTATGTCAAAATGCATAATTTACATTTATAGTTGTCGCCTAATATTCTAAATATATGCAGTATACGAATAATACCTGAAATTTAATTATATTGGTGTTATTGCCCTTATAGTTCTGCTGGCCATATCATAGTCATTCGTTTATGTATCCCCTGAATGTATAACGTAGCAATATATAAGTCACACAAAGTCATATGGAAATGTATTTTTGTGTCGTACATTGTATCTTATGCACTGATCGCTTGCATGTCTGTCTAGGCCCCTTCTTACATGTTCGAATACGTTGTCTATTGTGTTTAATTAAGTCTCGCAATTCTTATATATATACAGAAAACAAATACGGCTCATATATATTTCTGAATTATTGCATTGATATCGACTAGAACGCGATCAATAGTTTTACTTTCTGAAGTTTCTCAATTATTTCCGTAATATTTCGTTGCTTTTAGTTGCCATTTTCCCGACAAAAAATTTCTACAGCACATTATTACCCCTTTCAAAAGACCAAGGTATTGATGACGTATTTAATTGGTGAAATAAGGTACTTGATGTGATCATGAACATAAGTAGGTCATAAGCAATGCGCATAAACTAGTACCTGGCAAGGACATGTATAAAAAGCGAAATATATATACGGTTATAATTTCGACCCATTTCAGACAATCCTGGACAAAACCATCTGCGGCACTCCATTAAAACATTCTTTTGTGGCTTTAGTACCAACTGGACCGGAATAATTTATTCGGTTACCCGCCTCCACCCCCCAAAACAATGTTGGACGTTTTAACCGTATTCTACGAATGCAGTCAACATTGATTGGTGTGGGTAACCCGTTTAATCGAGAACCCGCTTCATATTTTTATTATGTTTTGTTTCAAGATTTTAATCCCACGGAAATCGTGGTGGCGATTTTGTCATTCGTCGGAGTTAAAAATTGCTTATTTTTGCCGTCTAATCAATTTTTGTCCGAACTTTCACGGACAAAATGGCCATTAATTATATATACTAAATCGTTAAGAGTGAAGCAGTTTTTTTAATTTGACAGAGCTTAGTCATAGCTATGTAATTTGCCGAAATTACTGCGATAGCAACTCAATCCGTAGCATTAAATATGGGAGATTCACATCGTATTGCTACCTGTAAAGTTGTTTTATTTCTTATATCAACTTCATGGTACGTCGGCGTATAATAAAATATAGCATTACGTGAACATTTTGCCAAAAACATAGTTTTAAATCTACTTTCGTCATTAGTCCAACTCGTTTAATTTTGGCGCAATCGGTTAAATTTTTAGAACTTTGCATAAAAGATAATACTCGTATAATGATTTTTCTTCAATTTTAAAAAATTCTATCGATACGTTTCTTAGAAAATTTAAAAAACTTCAAAAATCAATTTAAAAATGTTCTCTTCGCTAGAATTTTAAGAAAAAAGTATATTGCCATTGTTGTGCCGAGATTAAAAAATGTGCAAAGATTTAGAAAATTTTATCCGAAGGAAAAGGGATAAATTTAAGTTTAATTTGGGCATTTCTTACGAGATGTGAAAAAAAAGACAAAAAATCTTTAAAAGACATTTACACAATAAATTTAGGAAATTAAACGCAACTTACTTGTACCAAGTTTATCTAGGGATCACATGAAATTGCAAAGAAGCTTGCGCATATCAGTCTTCAAAGCTGAATGTGAATGTTTAAATGCCAATACAGCTTTCATCAACTAATAGAAGCCTGAAATAATTTGAAACAATGGGTGGGTAAACATACGTGTGTGTAAATCCAATGTGGTGGGAATGTGATCCCTAGGTAAACTTGGTGAATCGATAGAATTCCAATCAAACTTCAACTTACAGGTAAGTCTTGTTTTATTTCCTAATTCTATCTCGTCACCAGTTCCCCCAGGGAACCCATGATATTTTAAAGCTAACATTCACATGAAGTATAAAATGCGAGTGCAAAAAGCTGCAGAAGTAAAGTGAGACATATAGTAACGATAACAACAAATATTATCGAGTGTCTCAATCAACTAATCACTGGGCAAAAAATTATCAACAGGAACAGTTAAAGAAATTCACGTCTCCATCGTTACTCAACAGTTCAAGACTGCAAGGGCAAATGATCCTTCACCTAACACTGGTTTATTATAAAACGATCGAAATATCGTGATGATGACCGTCCTTCAGTGTGGAGAATTTCATCCGTTGGTACTGATGCCGTTTTTGCCTTGGATGTACAGCCATTCGAGTGCGGCGAGGAGAACATTTTGAAACATCAATCCCTGCACTAACCATAGTTGAGCGAATCCATCGTGATATTGTATCTCTGGAGACCCGCTTATCAGCTGGCCGTATATAACTTATGAACAACCTAGCTTGTTTCAGTTTTTAGGAGTGTTTCTGTTTGTTTAAGATACTCTTTCAAGTGATATAGTACACACAAGGCCGTGTCATGTGGGTATGCTTTAATTAAGTCTCTTGTCTCTGCTATTTTCATGAAGCTGATGTCCAACATATGCAGACTTTGGCCCCGTTGTGCAGAGACAAGAGCAATGCGAATTAACAATTTTAGTGTCAAGGATTTCAGATTTAGCTAAGTCAGCTAGGCCTGATAAGTAATTTGAGCTTCATTTGAACATCCCATGTTGTTTGATATTTCGGAGCAGGAGGGTTGTTCTTAAATATTATTTTCATGAACCTCGATACCAGAGGGAGTGAACCAAGAGTTTGATTAATTGCAGCTACCACTATTGCAGATACTCAACTTTATGCTGTATTTAAAATAGAGTACTTAAATCCTTTGTCATACAAAGTAACTAAGAAGTCTAAATATGCCCAACAGGTGGGTCATATAAATCAATCTGTTTTCCACAACAAAAAAAGGACCACAGTTTAATGTAATTTTTGTATTGCTTTTGTGTAGTGCCAGTCCAGGACTGCATGATAATGTTGGTAGCTGTTTCCGAAATGTTTCTCTGTCTAATGCTTTCCCTGGGACTTTGCAAGCCATTAACTTGAGTTGTAGCCCCAATGGGTGTGGGGCATTGGTGTGAGCCTGATAAAGCAACTGGTTGGATGTCGGTAGGCCCGATGTTTATCCACTAACATATGAAGAAAGACTGGTAACCATGGCTGTGTTGGCCATAAAGGTACCACAATTGTGCCCAACGCCTCGTCTTCCTCTGTCTTTTGCAAACACTGTGCTATCAGGCTAAATGGGGGAAATGCATAAAAATAGTAAGACCCTCAATGCATGGAGAATGCATCAGTCCATTTTGCCCCTGGATCGGGTCTCCAAGAGACATAATTAGAGACCTTAAAGTTAAGCCTTGATGCAAATAGGTCAATTTGGTATGGTTCCCAAAGTTTGGCAATGCTATTATATATTGAGAGACCATATATTGAGAGACCATTCAGTTGATTCAATAGCATTTCTTGACTCTTTGTCTGCATCGACATTAACACTCCCGGGAATCTGAGAAGCACTTATCCAAACATTCTGCCTAGCTGAGCACCAGGCCCAAATTTCTGATGCTATCTCATTGCACTTATTGAATCTAATAACCCTCATAGCATTGATGCATAATATGCTACAGTGGTAGTGTAGTGTTATCTGTCTGAATGCGAATGTGTTTGTTTATCACATTACTACATAGAGATTGAAGTTCTAAAAATACTGCTTTTAACTCTAGGTAGTTTATGTGGTGCCGCCGTTCTTGCAGATTCTACAAGCAACCTGTACAATTATCTGAGGTTGCTGCTCCCCAACCCCTGGTGGACGCATCAGTAGTGAGGGTCAAATCAGGGTGTTTATATCTAATTGAACAAAAAGCTGACATAATGTTATCTCTCCACCATTTTAGCTCAGTGTAAGATTCCTGTGAAAGCCTAGCTTTAGCATTATAATTTCCCTTCGAAACTTTCAATGCTCCCACTTTATCCAACTCTACTTGACGATAGTGGAGTTTACCAAACTGTACACCTGAAAAATTTGATACAAGTAATCTTATGACATATGCTAATTCTCTGATAGTAAAGACAGAAGCACCGAATAAACTCATACAAGATAATTTAACATGTTCTGCCTTTGATACTGGAAGTCGAATGATCATGTCAATACTATTAACCATAAACCCCAAAATCTCCAATTTCTGAGTGGTATTAGCATTGATTTGATGGCATGAACTACATACCCCCGCTTTGTAAAGGTATAAACAGTATTATTATTAACATTCTGTTGACAAGCACTGTGAGTATAACCTACTAGAAAACTATGTTCAGGTCGGGTTTGATCAGTTCCCGTCATTTCATGTTAAGTTTCAATTAGCATTTCCAAGTAATGCAACACTATCAATGACATAATTGAGCACATCACGTGTATTTGACGTATCGCCATTTGTGATGCTTGTCACCAAACTGCCAACCAAATTGGTTGGTGCAGCTGTTCTTTGTAACATGGTTGCTTGAACTGCCAGGAAGGCCAAATCCATCGACCTACTTTTTCTCGGGAGCAGATCTATAGATATATTATATACACTAGATAGCGCATCTCTTTTAGTAAAATTGAAGCCAAGAATATTCCGGCGGTTGCCCTCATTTGAATAGATGGCGGCCATATTGGTAGTTCCCACTCGCTAATAAACGCTTAAAAATTAACAATAACTTTCATCATTTGAATAGTTTAAAAATGTATTTGGAATAAGTTTAACTGAATGTTTAAGTTCCCTGTTTAAGAAATAAAAAACACACGAATCTTCTCATTTCATGGGAATATCGTGAGTCTGAGCAGATCCCAAACTTCTTCATCGACCGTAAACAAGGACAAGTTTTCACAATTTTCTGAAGATAGATGCTTCTCCACCTCTCCTTGACCATTTCGGTCGATAAACCCCCCAAAGCATGTTATTAATGAGCGCAGCAACCTGGCACTCAATTGGAGGTGATGTTGCTTTCTGTGATGTAAAGGCCTGGGTCAGGCTATTCATCACAGAGCTCTGTGGCCTTGGGTCAGAGCATGGTACAGAGCTGTCCTTGTTTGCTATGTCACCAGATTCCGCTCCTTGACCAAGGGCACGGTCGAGCGTGTATTCCACATCAAGCATATTTCCGTCGCTGGAAACAGTTATTTCTGCATTGGTGTTGCTGCCATTGTCGTCAAAGCGTAACAGAAGATCGTCTTGTATGTTCTCGAGTTTAGAGGTCTGAGCATCTTAATTGTTAGCCAGCTTTCCAAAGAATTTCCGAGGCTCTGTAAGATTCCCGCCATTTCTGCTTCATCGATTTTGCGTGTTTTACTCTGAATTCGCTGCCAGCAATCAGCTGTGAATGGATTTCCACGTTCTAATCCATCTCCCATTAGTTTTTTCTCAATCTGAACCAAATCCCGAAAAAAGCGCTTTTATTGCGCTTTTAACACTTTTTATCGCTGAAATAAAGAACTGGACTGATTTGATATCGCATACAAAAAGACACTGATGTGCGCATGCGTTTGGTAATTTCATGGGATCCACGGGAAACTGGTGACGAGATAATTATAGACAGTCACCTTTGGTTTATTCTCTAGCATAACACTATAGTCCGTGTGTTCTAACCTCGAAAAGTGTCTAGAAAATGATTTTCATAAAGTTTGTCTTAGATCTGAAATATTTTTACGGGAACTAACACATTCGAACACGCTGAGTTCAAATCCAAAAAGTTCTCACTCCGTAGACCCGCAGTTTTCTCACAAACTGCTATTCTATCTTCACTAATTTCACAACAAATTTTTTCATTGTTCAACGACACGGATCGATGACGATACACGATTATGTCACTCAAAGGGACCAATTTCTATTTTCCATTCTTCCTTTTAACAAAAGACCTGTTTTGCTCTAATCATTTTGAGTTATGCAATCTTATGAGTGTTGGACGTAAAGAACATATCTTGTCTACAACTTTGGGAAGGTGCAGATAATTTCTTCTAATATCCTTACTTCTGGATCTCTCTATAAAATTACAAGGACGTTTATAATATTAAGTCTTTCGGCTATTTCTCTGAGCTGAGAAATATGTAAAACGGTAATCTATATGTAACGGTAATCTAAATGTATCATAACATATAATTTCATACTCTGAGGTGAATAAAAAGAAATAACCATAAGGGCTAATCAAGCTAAGTAGCACATTTCGACAAAAGACACAAGCGAAAGACGAAATGTATATATATAATCAAATCACATGCATTAAGGCAAAGACAATGTACAATAGACCAAAAGAATATATAATAAAAAATGTCACAAATGGAAACCGAATTTAGTCATTATAAGTTTGAAGTATAGAGAGTTTTTAAATATTTTTTTGAAGTTATATTTGCTTAGAGATTTCAATATACTATCAATGGAATTCCAGGTTAAACTACCACAGTAGCGCAGATTAAACCGACCATAATCTGTCCGAATTTTTGGAATATAAAAAAAACTCTTTGTAGAAGATCTAGTGTTATAATTATGTACTTCAGAAACATTTTGAAAGAAATTATCAAAGACAGCGGATAAATTACCCACGTGGAAGTCAAACATGAATAGAGCATTTTGATAGTATATTAATCAACACATTTAAGTATATAATAGTTTTGTTTATGGAAACACAACGTAAATTTATTACTGCAAAGCTTTCGATCCGTAAGCCCGGATCTTCATCAGTGCCAATACAATATGTGACTTGTTTAATTCACACGCCCTTTTTATATACAAAAGTGTCGTGATCTGTTGGTTCGTGTCATTTGAAATTAAATTAAACGGCACATCAACCACGTCATTTCAAACATAGTGAAGAGATTCCAATTAACGCGCGCGCATCCAAGACAAGAGAAATTAATTTTTCACATTAAAGAGAGCACGTACGCCACGTACTATCTAGTGGCTTTCCCTCCTTATCTATAGTATTGTGCTTCTCGATTTCAATTGACTCGCTCATTTTGCGAGAGAACTTATGAGTATCAATCGTCAAAGTATGTTTAGCCACAGCAGATTTATCTTGCCCGGCTTTCTCGCAATTCGTCTTGTGTTCCTTAAGACGTACTGAGAGATTTCGACCAGTTTCATCACTGTAAACTACAGTAGACCACATTCACAAGGAATGCAGTACACACCAGGTTTCTGAGATTCATTTACGTTGTCTTTATGTGTGCAAAGAGCTCGAAATAATTTGTTTTCGCTGGAATGGTATACCTTTATACCTGCTTCATTCCTCAAAAGTCTTTCGATTTTGTGTGAAGCCGGACCAATGTATGGTAGACAAACAGACGACTGATATTCAATCTTCTGCTGTATACTTTGTGGTGTTTTCATAGCATTATCTATGAAATGCCGTGGGTAACCATTCATTTTTAGAACATTTCTTAAATGTTCTAATTCATCGTCAATGTTACTTACCTCACAAATTGTTTTCCTTAGCGACCCATCATCATGTATAGTGAACAGAGCATCTAAGAATAGTATACATGTAGCTTTATCATCCTTCTGTACTTCAAAAGTAAACTTGGTCGATGGATGCAAACTATTAATGTGGTCTAGAAACTTTTGTAAATTATCTAGTCCATGAGACCAGCTACTCAATGTATCATCCACGTATCTGAACCAGAAACCAGGTTTCAACGTTGCAGTAGCTAAGGCCTTCTTTTCAAATTCCTCCATGAACAAATTAGCCATAACAGGCGACAATGGACTACCAATTGGAGCGCCGTTTGTTTGTTCATAGAATTTCTCCTGCCATTGAAAACATGTCGTGGTCAAACATAGTTTCAACAAATCATGAACATTCTCAGGAGAAAGAGCAGTTCTTTTAGCAGTCTTTATTTTGCGATATTACAAGCCTCTTCAACTGGAACATTAGTGAACAAACTAACTACGTCAAAATTTACCAGAATGTCATTCTTACCCAATCTAATTTGTTCCGTTCTAATTTGTTCCAAGAGAAATTAATGTGCAAAATTAATTTCTCTTGTCTTGGATGCGCGCGCGTTAATTGGAATCACCAGGGCGCTTATATAGTGGGCGGTGCAACGCGCTGATCGAAGTGTGATGCGGAAAAGGACTGGCACGAGCGTGCTTTTCGGCAAAAGTTGACGAGGAGCGTGATTTTTCCTGCTGTTGCATTTTGGCTGTTTTTTCATTAAATACGAAATTCTTGAGGATGTTTTTGCACTGTAACGACGAAGTAGTAACTAGTGTATCGTACGAATGCTTGTTTGGCCTGTATAGTTGAATTTTGAAAGAAATATTGGGGATAATGAGTCGGGCTTTTGATGACTTCAATGAAGGGAAATTTTCAAAACAGCATTTGGGCATGTTATTAAGTCGTCCAAACTTCGAAATTCAGTTGATGGTAAAGATTATATGTGCTTATCTCCAAAAGTTTTCATAAGACTCGGAGTTGAGCAATTGAATATACAGCGTTGGAAAGTGAGGTATTTTTGTGTGTTAAATTTTGCCTCGTTAGACCATTATTTCGCTGCAAAAAAATAAACAACAATTGTATTTTGGCCATGTCATGATCTTTTGTTATTATGTTAATAATTTTGTACGACTTTTAAGGCATTCAATTGAAGTAATTCTGCGCCGTAAACATATTTTACTTCTTGGCCTTTGAATCAAAACACGACTCGCTCGGACGTTTGTTGAGCGCAATAGTCGAAAAAGTTTCGTCCCAACTTTGATTTTTTTTGACCGGCTGGCCAAGACAACTTCTCGTAAGGATTCGTTAAAAAAATACAAATTCAAGTTGAGCATTTCTTGATTTTCAACTGAAAAGATCAACTAGTGGCTAAAATTAATTATGAATTGTATTCTATCGAACGTGAACGATACTCGGCGCGTATATAGCATAGAAATAATAGACATAGAATGCGTGCTCCTATCTTTTCTCAGTAAAAAATTTGTCTCCACAAAATGGCGCATTGAAAAGGGCATTTTGGTTGGTCCCAGACTCCTGAGGCAGGGAATTTCGCGCGGTTGCACGGAGTGCGAATTATTTTTTCAACAGTTTGGAAAAGATTTTATATCGGGACTTAAAATGGAAAAAAAGTTTGGTAAACTAAGGAAAAGTGTCTAAAAACCCATTCCAGTGGGGTTTTTTTTACGAAAAGCAATAATTCTGAACAGAATATATGCAGAAATCGTCGTTTAAAAATAAATTTTCAACGTTATGTTGTCGTGCAAGCCAAAACAAAACTCGAAAGATCAAGACAAACTCAATAGGTATGTTCTACAAATATTTGAACTCTTTTACAATATTAATGGAGTTCAATAATCTTTCTAAACTTACACAATTATATTTCATATTTTTCTATGTTGCTTGAGTTTGAGGCAACGCTTTTGAAACCATGATTTTCGACGTTATTTTTAGGCAATTTTACAGTTTATCGACAACTTTAAAATGTTTCAAGAACATGAATACACTTCGTTTACATTGCAGAAAAACGAAACCCGACGAAGAAAGAACTATCATTTTGTAATCTTATAAGATATTGGCAAAACAGTTACGTTTAGAGCATGCAAAAATGTTTTGAGTAAATTAATAAATTATATTTTCGCGAAACTACTTTGCTTTTAAAAGGCTGCACGATTTTCACTGTTTTCATAGTGTTTTGTAACTGCACATTTGCTTTGACAGTTTGTGCCTTCAAGGAACTCAAAATCTATCCCCAAACTACAAATTAGACAACAAGACAAAACGTTTTGACGATGAAAACGTAGTTTTAGCTTTGTTTATACTTTGTAGTTTGCACTCCTGGCCAAAATTCAAAATGGCGCATTCAAAAGGGCACTCACCTGAAAAAGTGGAGACATGATTCGTCATTAGCACGCATTCTGTGTCTATTATTTCTATGGTCTATAGCCGTTTCACCGCCCTATATAAGCGCCCTGGGAATCACTTCACTACGTTTGAAATGACGTGGTTGATGTGCCGTAGCCAGAACGATAATTGGGGGAGGGGAGCAAATATTCATATATTCGTGTTCTGCTTTATTAATTTCCTTTGAAATCAATTGTTTTTATGGTATGTGAACACGAATATATGAATATTTCCCCTCCCCCACCCAATTATCGTTTTGGCTACGGCACTGGAAACTATAGAAGAAAACAAAATCAGTGCACAAGGAATTTTTTACGGAAACAGTTGAGTGAAAATTTTGTCAAAAATATATTAATGCCATAATTGATATAGCTAAGGCACTGTTATTGACTTTGAAACTATTAGTATTATTCATGTGGATAATACAAAAGAAGTTAATGTTAAAGGACAATGGCAACAAATTTTTTTATTGTCTGTATTTATTA